AAATAAGAAGAGGATCAAAGTGATAGGTAGATAAGACATCTCTCTGACAAATGTACGAGTAAAACCGCTGAAAGATGTAAGAGGCCAGGTACTCCACCGTACACTTGTTGAAAACTACGTCAAACAAGCTAATTAACTAAGGATCCAAGATATTCACTAATTCTGGAAATATCAACTGTTCCTGAGCTACCAATGAGAGCTGATAACCAGCCAAAGCCGTAAAAAAAATCACCAATACTGGAAACACCAGTCACAACCGAATTCCTGTATTTAAATATTTAACATTCATTCAGGGAGGTGGAGGTGAATAGACTGAATACAAATGCTTTATTGATTGAGTTTTTTCGGTCGAGATAACTTGATAATGACCGACTTCTTTTTCTTCATTTTTGTGGACCGAGATGAAGTCGACTCTCTTTACCTTCCTTGTAGCGGACCGCTGTTATCAACCCCTCAATATCAGTCTCCTCGAGTCGCCAGAAATCCCAGTTCACAGAAAGGGAAGGTTCAATGGCTGACGTTGATTTGTGAGTAAATGAAAATAAGATTAAAGTTATTGTTAAACACCACATCTTTATGACAGATGTGTCGGTAAAACTGATAGAAGAAGTAAGAGGAAAGACAAACCAACGTACTCGCTGTCATAAAGGGTAATAACATTAAACAAATATTTGAACAATCGGTTAATTAAGGTGGTCAAGTCTGCCACTTTTAAATGTTTTGAAAAAACTCTTTAAGTTGATATTAAGGAGGAAAAATTCACATTTGCCCTCAAAGCTTTACTTCTCGAACAAATATTCAGTTTTGGACAATAGCTCAGCCGCGGACATTATCGGCTGACTTACCAGCCCCTGACAAGGGTTTATTTACTCAATATTTACCCATCTACGCCGCTGTGAAGTAATATCTAATACTTTCATAGAAAATGAAGACAACACTTGTTGAAAACTACGCCAAACAAGCTGAGTGACAGGGGATCCAAGATATTCACTAAACTCTGAAAATGTCAACTGTTAATTAGCCCAACAATTAGCGCTGATAACCAGCCAAAGCCGTAAAAAGAATCACCAATATTGGAAACACCAGTCACAACCGAATTCCTTTATATAAATATTTAACATTCATTCAGGGAGGTGGAGATGAATAGACTGAATACAAATGCTTTATTGATTGAGTTTTTTCGGTCGAGATGGCTTGATAATGACCGACTTCTTTTTCTTCATTTTTATGGACTAAGATGAAGTCTAAGGATTTACCATCCTTGTAGCGGACCGCTGTTATCAACCCCACAATATCAGCCTCCTCGAGTCGCCGGAAATCCCAGTTCACAGAAAGGGAAGGTTCAATGGCTGACGTTGATTTGTGAGTAAATGAAAATAAGATCAAAGTAATTGGTAAACACCACATCTTTCTGACAGATGTGTCGGTAAAACTGATAGAAGAAGTAAGAGGAAAGACAAACCAACGTACTCGCTGTCATAAAGGGTAATAACATTAAACAAATATTTGAACAATCTGCTAATTAAGGTGGTCAAGTCTGCCACTTTTACATGTTTTGAAAAAACTCTTTAAGTTGATATTAAGGAGGAAAATTCACATTCCAAGATATTCACTAAACTCTGAAAATATCAACTGTTCCACACTATAAAATGAAGAGAGCCAAATTGACCCCAAAAGCCATATTGGTCCTAACGTCTTGAGGACTAATTTGGCCCCTCGGGGTTCGTTTTGGACTATTTACGCCAAAACAGGTCGGACAGGTACCATTTCGGCCCCTCCAAAATCAGAATTGGCCCAAATGAATTCTACTTTGGAACTTTTTCTCAATTTGGCCCTTTCGATAGCTAAGTAGGATTTATCAATTTGGCCCTAACAAGGTGTAATTCTTGAAATGACTGATAATCAACCCAAAAGTGTCAACAATTTTGGTCACATGAACACATGGTCACATGGTCACATGGAAGTCCCATCACAGCTTGAACGACGCAAGGACGTAGGGATTCGGGAATGTTACAAGGGCCATATACCGATAAAAGTGGATCTTTCACTCGGTCGAAACCGGCACAATGAACTCTCGATTGGCTTACTCTAATTTATGCTGTGTATTTTTTAATGAGTAAAATGTTGTTGTATAAGAGATTTCTCTCCAAAATGCGTCCTCCTTTTGCCAGTGAGTCTAAGCAGCTCCTTCTGGGTATCACATTAGAACCTAGACCGCGTGCGTCAGACACAATAATGAATTATAGCAGCGAATTCATGCATCACTGAAGAGGCTGTTTCTTAGCTCCAGTCGCATGGAATAAGACTCAAGAAAGGATAAGTAAGCGAAATAAATTTGCTTAACAACGTATTTTATTTTAACTTAACATACATGAACTTGACCGCTCCATTGATCATTGTTCTTATCTTACATTGCAGAGAAGGATTGTTGCGACGTCCAAGATCTCCTTGCCATTGCCCAAGATGCAGACGAACTAAGGTACTGCCTTATTATAAAAGAGTGTCTAAAGTTCAAGAAATTGATTGTAATGAACGCTGAACCACGGTGAGATGACACGAGTTCTTCGTCGGTACGATATATACAGATAATTTGACGCATGCGTGGTTCGCCTTTTCTCCTGAGCCTTATTGAGTCTCAGCGGTTTCACAACTAAAGTCATGTCTTCTAATTTTGGCGCCGAGAGATAGAGAGGGTTACAGTTCGAATACTGCGTTTGCACAAGATGGACTAAACTTATTTCAAGATTCTCTGATTTTAGGATCTCTCACTCTGAATTCTTAATATTTTTCTAGCAAAGATTAACTAATATTTTCATGTCTATGTCTTTGTTTGTATCCCCTTAAGCTGATTGTTTTGGCTCTTTCTCTTTCAGGGTAAAGAATCAAGTCCTTCGAGTGAGACGTTTCCAAGAGCGATTATGAAAATTTAAAAACCAAAAATGGCAAACTAGCAGGCACTTTTTACAGGCTACAGGCACTTTTTGCACCTTGGCTTGATTTTAATAAGGTTGAAAAATTTGTTATAACATAGCGCGCGTGCTGGCCCTATACAAGTCCTATTGAGCCGCTATGAACAAAATCGGAGGACTTAGGAGGATCACATTGTTTTCTGGGGGAACGTATATGGGAGGGAGGTTCAGTCGTCGTCAACTGAGTATTAAGGGGGGACTAGAGAAATTTCTTCTTATTTTACCTGCAGTTCGTCCTCTCGCACGCCTGTGATACGCGCTCTGTACCATTTATCGTCTTTGGAGTACCTGGCCACACACAGCTCACCTTCAGCGGGAAAAATACGCCTGGGATCTTGACAATTGTTTCGAGAATAAAATTTCCTGCGAGGAGAAGAACGTGAAAACGTTAGAAAAGGGAATGTTCGCATACCAGACATTTCGTACCCACGGCCGTTTCGTACTCAGTCGATTCATACCCAGTTAGGACCATTCGTACTCACTCCGTTTTAGTTTTTTTCTTTTTCTTTTTACGAATAAAGTATGTTTTCCATGTTGGGTATGTTTAAAGTACGGTCAGTTCCTTATGTTAAATAGCAATAAAATCCGCGTTATATAAGTTTTGTTTACATGGCCTCTATTTTAAAAACGCAACCACCGAATGTAAGTCCTGGAACCGAAAATCCGGCATCAGGTGGTATTATGGCATCCAGTGGTATTATTGTTGTTAAGAATGTCACAAGTGAATATAACAGAGCTTTTCCTGTATCTCACTCGCCTGACTCTTTACCGAGTTTTCGTACTCAACAATCGTTAGGTATTTCGCGCGATTTCCTAGGCTTTGATCGTCACTGAAAGATGGTCTTAATAGTTACTGTAACTATAAAAATAAACACAAAAGGTTAATTAAACTAAAATAATTAAAAAATCACCCGATTTTGGCCATCAGAGAATCAAGATCTTCTTCTTCTCGCTCCTCGTTATCAAATTCAAACTCTCGATTCAACCTCGCTGAAAATAAAAATTAAATAAATGAATTAATAAATAAAAATAAGGACTACGTTTAAATTCTGTTGAGGATATGTAGAATGATACTACAACTATGTCCGAGTTGTGTTCAGTTCTTGACCTACACCACTCCCTGGATCTCATCTCTCCTCACATCATCACCTCTTAATCTAACATTAAGGTCATAAGAATGATCGGCGACTAAAGAACGCTCTCAATGATTAAACGAATTCTCTTCGACAGCATCATAACAAATTTACTGAGAACACTATGAAGAATATGCATACTGATGCAAACTGACGAAGTGCTAACGCTCAAAAATTTAGCTTAAGAAACTCTTTGCGGCGGCCAGTTTACATTATCAACTCAGTCGATAACACTTAATTATCTCGTAATACCCGCACCAACCCATCATCACAGTTTCTCTGGAAAATCACCTCGTTTACTTAATCGATACCATAGAGTAATGGGTAACAGTAAGACTTTGCGATCCCAGCGCGTCATAGGACCGCATAGTCATCTAAAACATATGGTACAAGAATGGACCAAGACAGAATAACTCAGAGCATGCTCAGTTGTACCAAAAACATACCAGCCATGATGCGTTTTTCTATTGGTTCTGTTCCGTAGGGGAACTGCACCCAGAAATGTCCCGGATTGAAGATGGCCGTGACGCGAACTGCAACCCAGGTACCGATATCAGGTAGCGTGACAGAGGAATCCATATTGTCACAAAAGGCCTCCACGTAGTCATGAAGTTCTTCACCTGAGTGTGAGTTAAAGTAATAACAGGGCAATCGAGGATTTTTACAGTTTTTAACGCGTGATATGCGAGGGGAAAATTTCAAACCTGTTTAATGAGCATCAATGAAAAACCCATCAAAGAGAAAACAAAAGTTCCCTCTATCAATCCAGGAATCGAGATGGGAAATATTTGAGGGAACGTTTTCGCAACCACATTTCAGTTCTGTCAGTAACCGGTTCTAAAAGTACTCCAACAACGGACAAATTTCGAGACCTTTTCAAACACCTTATGATATCTTTCTTTGCCCTTCTTTACAGTTCACATTATGACAGACCAACTCGATTATACATACTCTACGTAATCTGACAAAAAGTACCTCTTTTAAGCCGAGCATTCCCCCACAGTGCATTGCGAAGGGAGGGAGAGAGTAAGGGGGGGGGGGGGGAAATCGCGCACACCCACCTCAGGGGTCTACAGAACTAAGAAACAATAACTAGGCACGAAATGCAATGGGTTCCTGGTACGAAAAAAAACCTACGATCTATTCGCCAGCTTTGTTTCATCTTAATGTTACGCACGTCAAGTCATACCTTTTTTAACATGAAGATTAGGACACTGGTCTCCACGCCAGCACCCTGATCTTGTCTGATAATAACGGCATACTCTTCTGCTCAGGTCCTCTGAAATAAAAACCAAGGTTTAAGAAAAAAAAAGGTTTGAGGAGCGCCCGCGAGGTCCGCGCGGGTTCTCATCTTAAGTGCCTGTACTTCGATGTAGTGCTGTTTACTGTGCCACACAAGGTGGTTCTCGCTTTTGATTCTGTGAATAAAACCTTAGTAAATTACCATTCCAATGAAAACTACTTTCAGGTGACCTTGACCTCAGACTCTGCCCAATTCCTAACCTACTTTTCAAAGACTGACTCTGGAAAACTAAGAACAGACTCCCCTCAACAGCTGTCATTAATTCCTGCACCATACAAACGACTTATTCACGACATTTACATCACAAACGAACCAAAAAGAACGACGTAATTCTACCGACGGATCGACACTGGTCAATCACGACCGACTTATTGCACTTGAGTCTTACAGCCACTAACATCACGGCTAAACTGACCAATCAGTTTACACGAACTGGACTCAAAACATTCGACTGACCACAACTATTAATTTAACTCTGCTGTTCAAGTTGTCGAAACGTCAGTCACTACTACCGACAACGGTCCTTCAGACGACACGGTCACAAGGCACATTCAGTTTCAACTTTTGGAGCATATAAATAAACCCTGATGAAAAAAATATTACTGAGCCACACATACTTGAGTTAATTTTTCCTATCACGATCAATCGAAAGAACAGACTTACAGACAAGCTTTTGCAATACTTCTAGTAAAACCGCCCAGATTAAAGGCTGCAAAGGCGAAACTCGGATACTTACGGTGTCCTTGAAAGACGATGTCCAAGTCATCACTGTTTATAGCGTAGCTGTTTTTAGATGAAAGAAAATCTTCCTTCATTGGATCCCAGTCTTTAAGCGGACTAGTCGGGCTTGCTGGACTTGTAATAGCCTTTGCTTCCTTCTCGTCCGAAGGCGAACCTGTCCAGATAAGTATTCGAGCGATGAATGTTTTTACTTGTGATAATTGCAGTTCAGTAATATGGGGTATATCCACTAATTTATATTTTACTTTATTCTCATCAAGTGTCTGCTTGATATATAGTAATGATGTTGTGTAGAGAAATTCTGTCTCAGTCACTTATGAAAGCTAAGAGTATCTCAAAAACATATTTCAAAATATTCATTCAGAATCGTTATAATATTCCTCATATTTAACCCTTATACTCCCAAGATCTCATTAGTAATTCTCCTTAATATCTGCCATACAATTCTTCTGTTGTTAGTTTTAAGAATTTGGTTTCGGATCAACTAATAATCACCTAATTGATAGTTTTCTTTATTCTCATTGCTTGTCTGCTTGATATTATATTGATATTGTGAGGAGAAATTCTGCTTTGGTCACTCCTGAGTATTAAAGAGCCAACCATCCTTGCTCGTTTTTGGTTTATTCTTTCCAAATTTACCATCCTACGCAGCGTGCAATAGCGACTGGAAATTTCGTTTCAATCGCCGGATGAGACAATTTGTAGTAAACAGTGAGATACGAAAACAAACAGTTTTCAAGAAGAAGTGTCACTGATGAAACTGAACACATTTTCCCACTCGTGAACGATCACCACGTTAAATATGTATGAACGAAACAAAGAAAACGAGGGAAGTTTCTTTACATGAGCGCTGGTTCATGCGAAGAACACCGACAAGCCAGTGAATCAATCACCTGTTGGCAACCATCATAAAACCTGCGTGTTTATGACGTCTTACAATGGCTGAGTCATAAACAGACGTCATAGTCACGAGACCCTCTGAAGCTTTTGGGCTGAAATGTTCATTGACTTATTATCCCTCAAACATCCAAGAGAATACCGATAAGTACCATTTCTCTCTCATGTGTATTATCATTACATGAGTCATCGTAATCATATGCGTGATTTACGTGCGCGATGTCAGTTGTTCATATCAAAAAACCAAAAGTACAAGCTTTAAAAAAAAAACATCCATGAGAATTTAGCACATGAAAGTTATGCTCTTAGATCTAGAAAAACTTTCCAAATTTTGTCTCTAATAAGACTGGAATAAGATTGACAAGTCTGGGTGCGTCTTTCTTTTCGGAATAAAGATTAACCTTTTCCTATGTTAACTGAGTTGATTCGATACATACTAGCCAGCGGTATGCAGTCATGAAGTCAACGTTTGTCGACTAAACATTGAATTTAATATTAACTCCATTCTATTCAATATTCGGTCAATATTCAGTCGCACAGGTGACTCTAGGTCAGCTTAACCCTTTAAATCTCAAGAGTGACTAAGACGGAAGTTCTGCTTACAATGTAAATGCCAAATTCTCCGAACAAACATCAAAAGAACTATATGACAGATAGTAAGGAGAATCACAAACGGGATTTCGGGAGTGAGAGGGTCAATCGACCGGCTCGAAACTTTGACCGTCCAATCGAGTGCGAGTGAGATACCTTGTGCTTGCATACTTGACGCAGTGCTCTCTAAATCTTGGAGAGTAAGTTGAACCGTCATAACATCAGTTCCTAATGGAAAGTAATAAAATCGGTTAACATTTCCAGCATGTCGAAATCCATCGTTATCGAGTGCTTGTCTAACATAGCGACCGACCAACCGAACGTTCGACCGACCATCCGACTTGCTAAACGATCGTCCGCCATGTTAAACGAACAATCGACCGACCGTCCAAAAGACCGAACCAACGATCCACCGACAGCCCGATAGGTTATAACAAACGTCAACCGAATAGGCAACCATTCCACAGGCCAACCGAACGACCGACCGATCGTCCGACGAGCGAAGCGAACGATCAACCGACCGTTCGACAGGCCAACAGAACGATCAATCGACTGTCCAACGAGCGAACCGAACGTTCGACTGACCGTCGGACATTCGAATGACCAACCGAGTTATTACACGACTAAGTAATTAGGTATTATCACTTGAGCTCATAACGTAAATTGACCACCGTAAAGAGTTTAGAAACTGACATTTCAAACGTTAGCCTTTCGTCAGAGCGAATTACACGACCAGACTGCAAATGCTCAAAATATACCATAAGCTACATGCGGAACGTCAAAATTTCCTTCACAAAAGATTTACCTGTTTGTTCTGCAGGATTTTCTACAAAATCTGCTATTCCCGTCTCCACAAGTACTTGATTGATAAAGATATCCTCGTCGCCTGTAGTGTCGTACAGGTCAAGGCTTAGGGTGGGCTTCTTGTAAGATATATCGACCTGTGAAAAAAATTAAAACTATCGTCAAAAAAAGTTTGTGCTTATCCATCGATGCGATCATTCTGGTAATAATGCATAATCACTTGTCCCTCCCGATATAATCGCTTAAGGCGTAGATCGGGACGCTTAAACCACATACTGCTAGTCTACGTCAAGCGGTGAGATCGACTGACCAAATGCAAACCAATATCCACTTATCACCAGGTAAGTCCAGAACATTGGGCTCGAGTGGAGAAGCATCGCTAACAACCAATCAGGTTAGAAATTTTGGCCTCAAAGCGGTTGTTATTTAACCTAGAGTAAAAAAGGGTTGCCAAAGGATTGGCAAATTTTGTCGCCAAAATTGTCCTACTCGCGATGGCGACCAAAACGGTCCCAGCTTGGAGTGCAGATTTGACGGAAGTTTCGGAAGAAAAAATTGAAAAAAGTCTTGATATAACCTTTGTTCCACCAATAGCAGGGTTGAACAGCTGTTGATAGACCCATGAATCCCACGGCACCATGTAACCCACTAATTTCCTGTTATCATCCGTCAGCCCGGTTAATAATTCTGACGAGCCTTCGGGCCATTTTTCCGCAGTTTTAACGGGAGGAGATTCATTAAGAAGAGGGAACGGTTTTTCTGGACTAGCACTTGGACTGGGAAGCAAGTATTTTTCCTGTAAAAAAGGGAGAAATGGATAAAGTTGTTACAGATTCGTCACGGACATTGGAAGAAAAAAAGGGGAGGTCTCTTGGGAGGATTCGAACCCAGGCCAGTATGGCTTTCACGGTCGCACGCTATCGCAATTCAGCATTGGCCCTGCTGAAAAGGTACAGAAGCTTCAAAACCGTGCAGCTGCGATTCTTAGGCTGGAAAGCAATGAACATGATTTTAATGAGTCGTTCCGGGCACTGAGTTAGCGTAAATTCAATTTTCAAGGACTAGAAGCGACATCAATTATGACGTACAAGAATCTACATGGAATTTCTCCCGAAAATCTACTTTGGAAATGGCGCTTTTTCGCCCCGAACCAATCATTTAATGAAAAGTTTTTCTTACAAAGGTGCTGAGGTGTAGAACAGCCTATCCCAAGATCTACATTCTGCAGCTTCCTCAAATGAATTTAAACGCAGACTACGTTAGCACAGCTTCGAATGAGACACGGAACCTCACGACATGATAGGTTTCTTCTTATTTTATTAGTTAGGGCAGCTAGGCTGAATCAGGAGTTTTACTGGCATACTATGCTGAGGGAATTTTTAACCCTGTATAAATATCAATCAATCAAACAACAATCAATCAATGGCGAATCTAGCAAGTCAGACCAGGGGAAAGGGTGGGGGAGGGGAGGGGAGGGGAGGGGAGAGATTCCATACCCCAAGGTCTAGTTTTTTCTGCACTCACCGGAAACGCAGCCTTATCTTTATCCTCATCTTTCACTGTCTCTTTCCCTTTCTCCTGGTCTCTTTTTTTAATGAATTCAATCTCACTCATCTCACTGCTGTCATAAGATTCATCACCAGCCGCCCGTATAACAATTTTTTCATCCTTTAACGATATTTTGGGGGGTCGTTTTCGTTTCCTTCTGTTTCTTTTGCTGCCAGATTTTCCTGTGGGAGGAGAGTCAGATTTCGAAGGCCGTTCACCCACCGCTACTGGTTTCTCTTCTTTTGAGGGAGTTACTTCTGCTGGGAGGCTAGCCTCTTCTGTTATCTCTTTAATAGCAGGTTTTTCTTCTAGTGCTATCGGGGTCTCTGTGAGTAAACGTTACAAGTTAACGTACGTTTAAAATGTTCTGAATTGTGGCTAAAATTTTTACCAGCCATATTGAAATATTGGATCGAAAGGTCTCGTAGCCTTTGAAAACAAGAAATAAAATGAACGAATAGAAAAAAAAATTATTTAATTCGTTCTGACGAAGGTCTAACGCTCGAAAAGTCCGCTTTAGTAATTTCCTACGGTGGCCAATTACCTTGTTATACCCCTACCGATGCAACACCAGTTTCTTTAGAAACTTGCCCCCTTCATATTTGAAAATAGTTGAGCTTGGAGCTCTGTTATAAAAAATTCAAACATTGACTAACCTTCAATTATCAAAGGTCTAAGGTTCGCCAGCTTGCATTTCACCACCTGCCCAGGTAGCGTTAGGAATTTGGCTACAAGAGGCTTTATATCAGTAACGGAAACAAACTCAGAACTCCCAAAATCTACATGAAATACTTGGACATCGTGAGCACTGCTGATTGGACCTTGAACATCCCCAGTCCAGCGAACACTGGTCACCAGTCCGCGGTACCACCTCCCGTCCTGTGTGAACCGAACGCAACAGTAGTCTCCTATTTGGGGCTGGTAACTATTACTCGGCGCACAACTTTGGGGAAAAGGGTCAGCTATGGATAGTTAAAAAGGAAAAATCGTTAAAGAGGTTTCAGAAGATGAAAGATAAAAACAAAAAGTCAAGATTACAGGACACAAAAAAGAATAAATTTACGTACTGCCATAGAACTTGTTCAATTCGTCCATCATTACATCAAGAATTCCAGCATCTGGCGTTACAAGATGAACATAAAACTCGCTGGGATTCACAACATGAGACATCAGCATTTGTAGACACACAGGGCGCTCTACGGGTCGGAGCTCAGTGATGAAGGACTCTTCAGGGCCTGACATGGGAAGGGACTCAGAGGACATCGATACGTCTATGATGAAAAAAAAGAAAGCGGAGAGGAAATAAAAGGATTTTTAGTGAAATGAAAAGACAACTTTTACATGGTATTGCTTCCCTAAGCTCATAACTCGCGTTCTTAGCTTATCAGAACGCATAAATACAACGTTATTTCAACCAGCTATTAAATGATGAAGCTCTGATGTTTTATCAGTTCATCTACGTTGGGTAACTTTTTTTACTTACCGATAGGTTTTATGTCTTTTTGGTCCAGGGAATGTTCGAAATTTTTTTCTTTCAAGCTTAATCCAAGTGCGCCGTCGATTTGTTTATCCGTCACCTTCTGTCCAAAAGTGACATCTGTATTCTCTGTTTCATCCGTGGAAGACTCTTCATTCACCTTTGCACGCTCTTCGTTCGTTAGAGCCGGCGTGTGAATAACAGTTTCTTTCGATGAGCACGAATTGTCCGTAAACGTATTTTCTTCTTTACAATTTACATTGTCTACACACTTCTCAACGAGCCCATCTCCTTCCTGCACGCTGCTCCCGATACTAACACTACTGCAGCTCCGAGTTAAACACCCGTTGCTTCCCCCAGACAAGGGACTCGACCCGCCACTGCACAAGCTACCATCTCTAACTTGGAGCATGATTCGCTGCGCCATACCGGAGATTATCATCATCTCTGCAATACTGTACTGTAGCCCCGGGAGACCTTTACCTGTGACAGATGATACTGGGGTTTTTAGCTTAGGGTTCTTGGGAGGGAACACGTAGAGATCGATAATGACAAACTTGCTGGATTCGACTCTTGAAGGATATGCTAGAAGCTTCGTGCCGGACACTTTGTGTGTTAACCACGCAATGGAGTCCGCACTCCATAAAGAGGTCTCAGCTCCTATAAGTGAATTACAAAAAAATTAAAAAAAAAAAACATGGAAAAAAAACTTGAAAACACGAGTCAATAAAACACTGCGCTCGATCTGATACTGACAAACGGGTCAGTGGGTTTGCATCTGATGTATCTACTCATTCCAGCCTGACTGGAAAAAAAAAAAAAAAGAAAGAAAATTGATTTTTACGCCACGAATAATTGAAGGTAATCGCTAAGTGAAAATACCTGTCTTTTGTTGCTGTAGACTAACTGGCCTCACACCCGACAGTGCACAACACAGAGCTTGACAAGGCAGTTTAAGGAATTTTTCTTCCAATGGACGGAGACGGGAAAGACCAAGTTCCTCACGGTTGCCGTCATCAACGCAAAGGACTCCAACAGACGGTCCTAAAATTCGAGGCAGTTTTTTTTTACCCTTCTACACCCTAACATCAGTAGGCACATTCTCCCAACTGCACTCGATACATTTCCTAGGGTACTGACAAGGAGAATTTGTATAACAACCAAGACCTGTTAAGTTTGTGATCATTTCCTTTATTCTGTTTGTGTGATTCAATGGGTAAAAAAGTAACGAGAAATTAGATGTTGGTCACTCTTAACCCTTGAACTCCCAGAAGTGATTAACATGATATCCATACATTACCCAGCATAAAGGTAATGAGAATACTCAGACTTATCAGGTTGAAGTTGTCATCTTGATCCAGTACCACATTCTCGTAACTTATTTACACGGAAATGTGTAGCAGCTAGTGGGGAGAATTAACAATCAGATCTTGGAGTTAAAGGTTAAAGGATAAAGGGTGCATATGCTGAGTCTGGTTCAAACGTCGTGTTATTCGAACCTTAGTGAAGACTCGAAAACGGTAGAAAACAGTTTACTTTGATGCCAGCGAGCAACGTTATTCACTCCAAGCGCTTAATTTAAACCTACGTCCACCCTTAACCTTTTTTCTCCAGGTGTGATGAGAGTGTAAATTCTCCTTACAATTTTCAAATACTATCAAGCAGGTAGGTTGTAAAAATTTAGAAGGTTATTACCTGGGGGAGAAACAAGGGTGAGTCACGTGCAAGGGGAGAAGCGCATCAAGGTGCCGCATCATCTTTGTTGCGCCCCTCACCTCGCACGTAACTCGTTCTCGCGCTCCACTCACGCTCGCCTTGCACTTTCCTTTGCTCGCCTAAAAACACGATTGAAATCCATGGCGCAAGCTAATATTTTAGTAGCGTGCGCGCAGGACTTCATTAATTGACGCTGCAGGATGCGCGTTACTCCGCGCAGGAAGATTTGAGACGAGTCGGGAGAAGTTTTCCGGGAGCCTGGCACTGATAATTCCCATTGCAAATATTGTCAATATAAACCTCTTGCGGGCTCACGTTACTTAACGCCTCATACTTTCCCACGCGCGGAGAAACACTCGCGCAAAAATGGAGACTCCTCTCGCGAGCTAAATTTTTATTTTTCAGAGGGCCCTGCTGAAGCGTGATATCATTACCTGTGGCCGATTCTTTAACACCTGTCACTAACACTCTGTACCACGTGTCATCTTGTGTAAACTTTGCACAGCAGAAGTCACCGACGTCAGGCGCAGTTATAAGTCCTCCTTTGTAACCGGCTGCTGCCATTTTTGCATAATGCATGCTAGGAGGATGACAAAAATAAAATGAATTAAAAAAATGGAAGGGAACAGGCAGGAATTAGTAATTCAGTTTGATCAAACTCTGGTAATGATGCAAGAATTTGTCTAGGTAATGTAAAATGATGGGAAATAAATTTGTTAACTCCCTAGATCTGATCATTAATTCTGCCCTATAGTTGCTACACATTTCCTTATAAATCAGCTCAGAGAATTTGTTTTTAGATCAAGACAACAACTTTTACCTGATAAGTAAGAGTATTCTCAGTACCTGTCAGCTGGATAATGCATGAATATCATTGGGAGAAGTTACAAGTTGATCACTTCTGGGAAATGGCAGGATACCTTTACCTCGTTTATTGTTATTTTCGTCATCATTAATTTCGAAAACCAATTTCAAAAGCTTTGAAAATCCTCTGAAAGATTTGCAGAGTAAATAATTATTGACAATATTTTCAAGTCACCAAGTTTATTTGTCCCTCACCACATTTCCTCCATGAGTAAATCCAGCTCTGTGCCAACAGGTTGAACCCAAAACTCCCATGGACTCAATACCTCAGTGACAACAACTTCTAGTCTCTGGCCATTCTTGAAAGGATACAGTGGCAGTTGAACTGTCACAAAAAATAAGAAAGAAAGACAACAACACTCTTATCATATAATTAAGTAAACTCTTCATGGTTTGATTAGTGAAAA